ACGAGCCCCCCACAAACGACCACCAGTACTATGCAAACAACCCCCGATTCTATTACATGGTCCCTGATGGCAACTGGCTTTTGTGAACTATCCCTGGTTCTCATAGCGAATGCAAGGCAGACAATGCCTCTTCCGGCTTTGGGATATACGGAGTAGAATTTCCTCAAATGCAGTACAAAACCCAAACTCTCCCCCCTGCAATATCCTCAGAGAAATCATCACCACCCCTAATCGACGGCAACAAACAGACACCACATGTTCGACGATATAACATCATCAACAAGACCGTTGTGAAACCAAACGGCCCAAAAAAACGGCGCCACACCGTTGGCGCTTACGGCCGTAGACTCCTGTCCGTGTGGGCGCGCAAAGCTTAAAAATCGCAAGTGCGACGACGCCGTCCAAGTCTCGAGACGACGCTAGACTGCCGGCCTAATGGCAGCATATTGGTCAGTGAACGAACAGGAAGATTTTTTTTTTCTGTTAAAAAAAAGCACCTGCCTAAATCCAAACTTGTGAGCACTTAGCTCGACTAAAGGTGCTCTTAGACTCTTCCTGGCCCCAAGCTAACAACGGAGAATTATTTGTCAATTCCTTAGCTTGACTAACGGGTATCTCCGTAAGATCGGGCAGGTTGTCATGGCGCGCGCGCGCTTGCGAGATCTCGCTGCCTTTTCCATAGTCGGCGATTCTTGCGCTCGCGTTCCCGAGTCTGTAGGTACGTGACCTCGGACCGGCGGTCGGTGACAACAAGTCAAGATCGTTCAGCAGGGCTTGTGCACATTGAAACCTGGTATCATATTCGATCATTAATAAGACAGCACATGTGTCAATCTCCCCAACTACCCCGGCAATGCCCCTTTTCCCAAACCTTGACCACTAAACCCCCTATTTCTCAAAGCCCAGCCAATACACTTTGGATGCCAACGCTACTAGCATCGTCGCGACGTTGCACAAATGCCTTGAAGTCGGCCTTGGTAAGCTTCTTGCCCTGGCCAGAGGGGCCCGCCGCGAGCGTGCGAGACTTCTCCCTCAGCGCCTCGGGTCCGACAATGAAGAGGGAGCCAATATCAGTGAGAAGCTCGGCCGAGGTTTCTACGTCCGGTGCGAGCGACCACTCCTTGAGAGTGGAAGAGTACTTGGACAGATCCTGCGCGACCATGAGTCCGCCCGTAGCATTGACCTGGAACTTTTTGAAGTGGTCAAAGAGCAGAGCCAGGACGGCGAGTGCGACCTCGGAGCTCCAGACCTCCAAGTTCTGGCCGTCCACAGCCTGGGCGGCGTGCTTGGAGACGCGGGAGAGAAACTGGCTCATTTGTAAACAGGTGGGCGTCTGAAGTGAATCCAGATCTGCGTCGCGAGGACGGAAGTCAAACTTCTTCTGACTGGAAAGAGAGCGCGTGACCCAGTTGGTAACGACATCGATGGAGCTGCGCATCACGGCGTTCGTCTTGCGCTCAATGCCGTCAATGGCGGATTTTGTCTGCGTGGACATGCTGCGGCGGACTGTCGTGTTGGATTCGGCCAGCTTGATCAGCACAGTAGTAATGAAGCGTTCCATGATACTAGTGATGGTCACCGCGGGACGGATTGAAGGGAGGTAGCTCAAGTCTGGTTCCGACTTGATATTTTCCTGAGAAGTCGCCTGGTCGAGCGCGGCGTCCAAAGCCGTCTCCACATAGACGCGACCCATTGTTGTGAGCAAAAGGTTTAGGAGAACGTTGACGTCCTTTGGTGTATCGGCGGGAGAGCCAAGTTCTAGGGTTCTTCGGACGGATTCCGCGAGCCACTTCATCATTCTCTTGGCATTCGCTATGCTCAGAATGCCGTCTTCTTCTGACACCTCAACGTCGTTTTTGTTGTCATTGTTGTCTTGTATTCCTGCAACACGAAGCATCATAGCCTTCTGAGTGGCTGTTAACTCAGAGGAGTCGAGGCGCTCGAGATATGCATCCTTGGCCGACGATAGCATTTGTGAACTCTGTTGTGCAAGTGAGGCCATGAAGCCAGTCGGTGCCTTCTTTCTCTTGGAGTGGTATGTTGTGAATTTGAAGAGCAACGAGTTGTACGTTTCCTCAAGACTCTTCCTCTCTCGGTCAATGTATGAATTACCAACAAGGTAGGGAACGAAAAGTTCCTCCATCTGCTGGTCCAGTGTCTGGGAGATTTGGGGGGAAGCCGGTTCCGGGTGTTCGGTAAGGCCGTGTGATTTGAGGTCTTCGATCAAAGAACTGATGTATGTCCTCGATGAGTGCAGTGATCTGAGGAATGCCAAGGAAGAGATTTCGTTGGCCTTGTCCAGCACCATCTCGAGCCTTTGTTGAACAGACTGCTGGAACACTCGCTGAATGAATTTGATCAAAACAGTCTCGTAAAAAGGGAAGGCGCGCTTGATGATGAAGGATTCCTCCTGCATGACGAGTTTGACCTCGTCAACGAGAGATTGTAGGCTGGCTTCGACGCCGGGTGGTTCAGAATCGGGATCTGCAATCTGTTCCCATGTGTCGCCGTCCAACATAACTTCATCCGAAATCAATTGGTCTCTGTCGATGAAGAACTGGTGCTGATTGACAAAGGTCGCGATGACGCTGGAGCCACCGTTGAAGTCGTACAGGACCTTGGAGCACTCCATCATGTCGTCGAAGTTTTGGCGTCGGTAACTGCTGTTGAACTGCTTGAGAAGCTCCTGCTCCAAAGACTCGGAGAACTTCTCGAGTAGTTCTCTCGTGTTGTGCACGCGATTTGTTCCCGTGACGCCGTTCGTAACGCCGTTTCCTCGGAACCCGTTTGTACCATTCGTCTGACCCCAAGAGGTCGGGTCTAGCCGCTGACTGATTCGCATGAGCTGTCGGGAGATTACTGCGCATCGGACCTTGTTCTCGGCTCCTCCCTGTCTCTGGATCTCCTCTAATGACGTGAGCTGGCCCGTCTCGCTAACCTCAATCCAGCATTGGATGAGGAAGTTGGCATCCTGGGCTCGCCTCCGTTTTCTGTCCAGCTCTTCAAGCTTCTCTCCAATCTGCACAGCAATATTACCGCCTGCTTCTTGTCTCGCACTTCTGTCGCCGTTTGTCGCGGATTGGTTTAATGATAGATCGAGTGCTTCGAAGGAGGCCATGGACTGGTCGAGCTTTCGACCGAGGGTATCGAGTGTTTGATCATGCTGGGCTTCGGCCCTTCGTACATTGGACTGGAGTTCCGATTCCTTCTCCTGGAGTTCTTCGGACAACGATCCAAGCTGCGACAGCGCATCTGCAGAGAGGGGTTAGTGAGGAAGGCACGAGACGAAGGGAACGAAGCTGCCGTACTCTCAAATGTGCGAATGAGTGGCTTGGGGTCAAAGGCGGGTTGCGATGGACCTGATCGGCGGTTCGCAGGCACGGCATTCTCGGCAAGAGTGTCGACGAATTCGCGGACCACGAAGTCCTGGTTCGAGAAGTCCTCGAGGGTGAAGCTGGGCCCTTGAGGGAAGAGGGACTTGGCCCCAGAAGGGGCCCGTTCCATGTTGGCGGTCGGGCAGAAAGCGAATATACTTGTGCAGATTCAATCGAATGGCAATTTGCTACATGGCTCTTGAGTCTTGGTATTGTGTAATCGAATTGTCGTCGGCAGCCTGTCGCTCAATGTGTGGTATCGCGGTCGAGGTTGTGTTTCGGGAGCACGGGTATCCGCGTTGCTGCTCCCAGCGAGTGACGAACTGTCTGTCCCTTGCTTGAGCTTGGACCACTGCAAGTCACTGCCCCGCCTTTGTTGGTCTGTGTGTACTTGATCTCGACGATGTCACGTGATGGAAATCACCACCAAAAATGGTGATTATCAAGGATCCTTTCTTTACTATATAGATATTCAAACGAGCAATTCAACGAGACTGCCCAGGCTAGTTCCTCCCACCGGCTTACTAGGCACATCTACGGATGTATCCCGAGGCAGAGAAAACATACCTAGTATGAACGTCAACTGTCGATATCCTGGGGAGCTGATGCCCTCTTTAACGCAGGACCTCAATCAATGGCAAGCTGGTAAACCTCTGATTTGATTGCTCCGGCCCTCACGACTCTGTTGGAGGCTTCTATATACTCAATTGGGGCCTTGAAGTACTTTGTGATACTCCAAAAACTCACTGCCGACTATGTGCTGTCTAACAATCGCCGTCTCAAGATGACTTGATACAAGACCCTTTGCTAGGTTGAAATGTCCATCATCCCTGTACACCTCACTCCCGTCTTCGGGAGGCTCAGAGGCATTTACCAAGATACAGATGGGCTCTACCTCCGCGCAACGTTGCTCTCTACCTGCCTGCCAAGAAAGCAACGGGCAGACATAGGCAGCAGGTGGGCCCTGTCTAATAGTTCGCCCTTAGTCTCATCGCATAGACATATAAGTCTCCCACGACATCTTCACATCCTTAACTTCGACAGCATCATCTTTTATCTTCCTTATTTCACATATGTAATTTGACCTTCACTCTCTAGTCGCCATGGCCGTGGAACACAAGCCAGCCGAGGAGACAGACCGCCTTAGTCTCCTGCCAACAGAGCTCCTCATAGACATCATCGAGCATGTAGACGTCGCTTCTCACCTGAACTTTGCCTGTACCTGAAAGAAGATCGCCAAGTGTTCAGCCGGAGTTCTTCGCCGTCACAGAGAACCCATGATAAGTACGGCGTCATCTCAGACCTCCAGCCGGCGACTATACCCACATTGTTGCGAAATGTTGTCATGCACAAGGACCCTTGGATCACATGACACATACGCTCACTCGAGATATGGGGTAGCCGAAGGTTTTGGGAAGACTGGCGGCCGTTCAACCTCGTCTGGCTTTGGCCGCGAGAACGTTTTGACGAAGATGCGCAGCCGTTGGAGTGGACGCTGGAAGATAAGGAGCGGGCGGAGTACATGCGACTTTTCAAAGATATATATTTCATCCGTGTTTCGACGATACGTGTGTGGCCGACCAACAACTCGACGAGGGCTACGATGGCATCCTCAAGATCTTACTTATGGCTATATGCCCTCACCTGAGTAGTGTGAAATACATTCTGCGCGACGAGGGCACCAGGTGAGCCTGAACCTAGGATCTGCACAAAGCTACGTTCTAACGCATCTGGTTTAGAGATGACAGCCTCAAATGGCTCACTTCGCTCATCGAAATGAGTCACCTTGCCGGATCCTGGGCACCAGGGCTACGCGCTCTTCGTGAGGTCTCCATCGGAGTGCGCTCCGGAACTTGGCTAGACTACGACCGTAAGGTCAATCGTCGCCCCGATCTCCTAGCAAGTGTACTTAGGCTCCCCAGCATCGATACCGTCTACTTCCTCGGCGTCTACGATCGGGAGGGCGATCGTATCAATGATTTAGCCCGCGGCCTGACACGCGGCTGCTGAAGCGTACAGCACCTGTTCATCGACAGCGGAGAGTTTTTGAGTCCAGGGTTCTGCTCAGCCCTCCTCAACGCCCCTCGCTCCCTCAAAACCCTCCGCCTCTGCGGCAACGTCAGAGGTGATCAGGACTGCTGGCACGAAATCGACAGATTCCTGCTCAAAGCACGCAACGCCCAGGCTGGATCTCTCGAGAGTATCATGCTCTACGGAGCGTGGGGGATGGAAACTGCTCGCAAATCCGGCTGTGACCTGTATCACCTCCATTTGCCCGAACTCAACACATTTCCACGCCTCCGGCCAGTCTGGCTCGACAACGCCGACTTTCTCAAGCAGGCAGACAGCTACGATATGTACGCGATACCAGACCTATGGCAAACGCCCGCCGAAGCAGCGCTAGAGTGGATTATCTCCCGCCTCCCCGCGTCGATGGAGGTTCTCTTCTTAGGTAACTCGGTGGAGCAAAGTGACCCAGAAAAGACAGAGGATCTCCTCATCGGCCTTCTCAACTCGGACAGATTCCCAAAATTGAAGGCACTTTTCATCGAGGATGACGTGGTCCGACGAGATCGGTGCGGCCGGGCGCGTTGCTCCAACCACGAGCCGCCCAACAATCTTTACTTCCAGCGCCTCATAGCCGTGGGCGAGAAGCGCGGGGTCGACGTGGATTGTACGGCTAGCAGGTCCAGGAAGAGGATTCACAGCGAAGAGGATATCGGGCTCTCTGCTGCCCCGGATTACGCGGCCGCGCTGAAGTCTTTGCCCTTGGACTCCTCGATCCATGGTTCCGGCGCGCGAGAGTTCAATGTGTTTGGAGGCGAGTGGCAGCTCAAGGGGTGCGGTAACTGTGGCGAGTGCGAGAAGTGTTTCCAGGCGTACTCTGAGGAGAGTTGGAAGGCGAGAGGGAAAGGAATCGAGACATGAATTGAAGATTGAGCTGCATGCTCAAATATGTTGTCTCTCAATTATCCTTCCTTGGGTGTGTAATCATAGTCCTCGTTCTGTCACTTGATCAGCTCTAAAATTCGTCATCTGGCGACTTTGGAGGAATACAAAACCGCCCATCCATCACTGAGTCGAGTTTGGTTCACTCTAACCGTGCCATCCATTAGTTGTTTGATGATCTTTTGCAGAGATAGGGAGTTCTCATCGTGTCTTAACATAGCCCTTACAAACGAGCGCCAATACAACCTACACTTTGCCCCTAGCCACTTAGCTTCGCTTTCCTCTGTATATTATGTTCAGAATAAGCGCTCTAGCGCGTTCAGAGAGTGTGTTTGTCTGAGTTCGGTTGAATATGGCTTCTTCCCTCGGATCAAAACGACCTGGTGGTTTCAGGGTACTTTGCCGCTTTCTCGCGGGACTCCTGATCTATTTGGCCTCGGATGACAGCCGAAGACATTATTGCCTGCTCAATCAACTTTTTTTTCACACAATCATACCATATTTATATCCCTTCGTATGATGACGGAAGCTTAGTTCTCTCGTGGCGGTGTTCCTTAAGCTCTAGTGCGTGTTTGACATCGAGCCATCTAATTGCTTTACCTACTTCGGGTTCTTTCCTATATACTTAGACTTCCTCAAATAAAAAGATGTCACACTACAAGAACTCGTAGGAGACTTGTCAAGACCACAATTACAGTATACGTAGCTTCCATTGCGCGGACTGGAGTACGGCGTCTGTGTTAGACCGGACAGTAACATCAACTCGTTCACAGCTCCCTGAAGGTGACATACTGTGTACGCTTCCTAGGTAACACATGTGAATGTATATATGGCTAAGATCCAGTACCTGTCCCTGATAATCCGCTCTTACTACTTCTGCCGTACGCATCGCCACGTCAGCATCACCCCCTGGCCAAGGCGATGACAAACTCATTGTAATGTTATTAAGATGCATCTTGAAAACCCAGAGGCATCGTCTTACCCCAGACATACTTCATCTCATTAAAAGGGGCACTCTTGGCTTGTCGACATCCTACAGAGAGACAGCAGCTGTTGTTGCAATTCGCGTTTATTGACGTATACTGAATTTTGAGGACAATAACTCACTCATGCCTCCATGATTGAAGGCAAGGATCCTCTCCCATCCATATCCCCTCGCAAGCAAAGACCAACAGACTACTTCTGGGCTGTGTTATAGAAAGACCGTGTACATCATGCTCCTGAATTCAAAACCGACCCCACTGTATAGTCATTAGCTGTGTACTCACGGACTATCTGTAGAGAGAGAGACGTTTCAAGGAAGCCTTGGTTGAGCTCCAGGGTAACATCGGTATAAGTCAGATTGTAAAGGAGGAGAGCATGTGCCTTTTACGCTGGATGTGGCCATTCAGTCTCGCAATCATGGAGTTGGTAGAGGGTACCTCGCCCACCCTGAGAGGTGAGCCTATGACACTTTGGCAGCACTTCAATAAATCATCCACGGATAGTCGTGACAGTCATGAAGCGGACTTCGCTGGGGTCAAGGCTTGTCACGTCATGCTTAAGACTCTCTAGGTTTCGCAACCCCGTGGGCCGTTTATAGCGGTAAGCCGCGGAACGTAAACCTGGCCAACCTCGCCAAGCTCGATATCCACCTGGATAGGAACTCTAACGATGGCTTCTCGTGTGGCCTGAGCTGCAAGCGGACTGCAGTCTACTATGTACGGGGGTTGACTGACGCGGCTAGCTATCAATCGCCATCAGCCGGTGAAGGCACGGTCTCGACTGGACGGACCCTTGACCGCAGTAGACGATTGCGCAAGTTTCCCTTAACGACATGCCAATGCAACGTACTTGGGCCACTCCCCAAGGGTGACTTAGAGAGACGACAGAAAGAAAAATCTGTCGAGGTCCATTGTAAACATGGCGAAAGCCAGACCGTGCGGATCGGCTCAGCCCTGCGAAGACGACGCAACCGGAGTCGTCAGCGCGGCCGGTGACTAGAGTAGCATTCTGCCTCTCTCTCGCAGGACCCGAGCTCCGACAGCGGGGACGACGTTGGCCGAGTCGCGCCGGAGTGTGGGGATGGCACTGCAATGTTGATCCAAGATTGGAATGGTTCCGGGTTCCACGGCGAGCACCACAACGCGGTCCCTGAAAAAACAGGAGCCACCCCTTTTGAGTGCGAAAAATGAAAAGGGTCACCCCTTGTTCCCATCCACTTTTGCAGAGTGAGGTGAGGATCCAGAAATGCGGCGCCGCATTGAAAGATTTGGAGATGAAGTGATCGGATGTCAAGTCGGATTTGGGGGCTCATGCCCGGAGCCTCATCAAATGCGGCCGTCACGCCTCACCGTGTTGTGGTACTTTTTTGAGGCACGACTCGTTGATTTGCCTAGTATGAGCACCAGACGTCAGCTGCCTGCAAGATCCGTTCTCAAAACGTAGGTAGGACGCGATGACGGGCAGCAGAGGAGTTGACCGCCGTCGCGGGGAGCATTAGGGAGCGAAAATGGACCCAAAATATCCGTAATGTAGGACGAAAGGGGTGGCTCGGAATCCCAAGAATGCCGGGATCGGCGCTAGAACAAGTCGCAAAGACGTATTTCTAGATCGACATTGAAAAAAAAAAAAAAAAAAAAAAAAAAAAAGGCGTGGACTGGCAGACTAGGCTCGTAGACGGTGAGGTGTGCGTTGTTCTGTCTCGGCCTCTCGGAACGGCCTAGCTAGCCGTCAGCTGGTGAGAGCACGTTGCCAAATGGCGAGATCTGAACGGGCCGGTCGTCCTCTTCGCTTTGCTTCTCTTTGTGCCTTCCTCGAATCCCAAGAAGTGTGCAAAGGTGGCTGTGCTAGGTCCGGCTATGAGGGACGAGGCGGGCAAGCGCGGCGGGCAGGTGGGAGGATGAACCGAAAGCGGGTTGATGTGCCGCGACCTCGGGCTGGAGTGGACCACTGGAATGGAATGGGTGTGGACTGTGGATGAGATGATGCGTGGGACGGGGCGCAACTGGGGAAGGGAGGCGCCGCGAAGCTATTTTTACCCAAAGCTTCTTGTGATTGTTTCTCAGGGTGGTTGTTGGTTGTTGGGTTTTGTTTTGTGGGTAGGACGAAGCCTTCTTTGTGCGATTTGTACGTATGTACGTAGAGTGCTACAGTTCGGTTTCCCTTCCTGGGCCGTCCTGCTGGGAAGGCCAAAACCTTGTGTCCGGATCGAGTAAGTAGGTTGACTTGTGGGAGTTGCACTGTTGCACGGTCTGACGGGACGCCGCGTATACAGTTTCCCTCTTTGTCGGGCCACCTGCTAGCCTCGACGGCTTTCGTGTTCGATGGCTTGAGCAAGGGGGTCGGTGATGAGTGAAACCCGTCCGGCAAATTGACCGGGCCCGGCCTGTTCGGTTCACGCTGTTGTTGTGGTTGTGGTTTTTACTCCGTACTATTGTTGCTGTCAGTCAAGAATGGTTGGTTGTTTAGATAGATGCACCAACGTAAAGTTGCGCCGGATGCTAGCGAATGGCGCACGAGAAAAAAAAAAAAAAGGCTGGATGATCCGTGGCCAAAGGGAGGGAGGGTGAAAAGTGCACGTTGCTGCAGGAACTGAGCTGCAAACAGATGCGATGATCGAGAGGGCGTAATCACAATGCTGAGAGACGAGATCCAGGTCAGCAGGATCAGACGGCAGAATAAGATCGGCACCACGTCGTCCAATGGTTGGTGTCAAAGTACGTAAAGGGTGTTGTGTATGCAGCATGATACATCAAGAAGAAAGCCTCGAAAATCATGTGAGAAACCGGATGACGAAAGACGCTGAACGAGCTGTCCTTCAGCCAGGCGCGATGTTTGTTTAATTCCCATCACGCCACCAGGAGTGCAGGTGCCGACATTGGATGAAGGTGGGAAAGTACCTTAAGTGTTGGATGGCGAACATGTTCCTTTCTAGGCAGAACTTCAGTGCTAGGAACCTGGGAAGGATGAGAAAAGGACGAAAGCCAATTGTACGTATCTGCGTTGATGAGACGGAAGGAACCATCAACGTCAGACGTGGCAGGACCCGAGCTGACCTCTATGCCTTCCCGCTCAAATGTACAGAGTACGTCAGGCTTAGAAGAGAAAGCGTCAGATGCAAAGTGGCAGTTCCAACTTCCAAATCGACTCACGAGTCACATAGCTGCTTTTCGATTTCCAATTCACCCATTCATTTATCCTCAGACATGGAATAAAAGACCGTGTTCAATTTGACCTCAGCTGGGAAGAGACAACCCCGCGGCGCGCCTTACCACCAGCTTGCCTGCCCTGCCCTGCCAACCAGACCGTCTAATAGACTTCAGTCAACAGAGAGACAGTCAGCTTGCTGTGGTGAGATCTGGAGTACATGATGTTCTAGAGGGAGAAGAAATGTCTGTCTGATCTTCGGCCTGGCATGCTCGGCTTTACAGCACTTTCCCTTCCAATCAAGCAAATCACAACCTTGGTTGACACGGTTTGGTTGTTTCTTGATCTTCCCCTCCCCTGACTCTCTCCAACATCATACATGGCAGACGGCTAATGGTGATTCAGGTACCTATCTGTAGGCTTGCAGACGCCAATGAGCCATTTGCTTGGGTCCAATAAGCCAAGAGAGCCGCTGTCCGGGGGTCATCCGAGCCCAGTGGCATTAACATTTGGATTGAGGGGAAAGTTTCAAGTACATGCCCCGTCACCAGCAGCAACTAAGAATAAGCAAGGTTGTGGGAGAAAGGCTAGGAATACCAACAACATGAACACAGCCAACGTCTATCGTTCTGCCTATTCTCCGAGAGTTTGCGATACATTGGAGCATGAGAATAGCGAAACAGAAGCCAGAACAACAGACACACAAAGCATGCGGAAATAGGCTCCGTTTCGTACGCCGCAAAGCACGCGTCCATTCGGCAGTCCGGGCTTTTCATTGCAACGGTACGCGACGCCTGGGAAAGGGCACTGGCAGGACCCCGTGTTTCCGGTTTCTCGGGGTCGGGTCCAATCGCAGGTCTGGCCGCAACCCTGAGCTGGGCCAGCGTAGCACCGGACCTCGACCTCTTGACTTTGGAGAGTCTGGAATCTGCAGGAAGGAAAGAAAACCCCGAAGAGTATGCATCACAAGACGCAGACATACACAAATACAACTATTGACACTATTCGTACACAGCATGTACAAAGAAACGCAGCGCTCATGTGGCCCGACCCGGTTTCGGTATCGCCTCAACTTATACTACTGGATCCCGTACAGATACGTAGGTGCGAATTCAATGCAGCACAGTCCAGTTGTCCCATACGAACTGCCCAGTTTCACACACCAGGTGGTACAGATTCGGTCGCACCCACACTCTCACCTAAATAAAGGGAGAGTTTTCAATTCTCGCACACAATCACAGGTGTGCTCCTCCGTATACGAAGTGGAAAGGCAAGGGCTTTCTCCGCCAAAGAGATGGAACCGGGCAAGATGAGTGATGATGCGCGAGGGGCGAAGAAGATCAAAAAAAATCAACGGGCCCATCGTAATTGCATGGCGCCCAGCTCGCAGTTCCGGGAGTTGAAGGGACCACCCCAGGCTAGCCCATGCTGGGCTAATGCAAGAACGAGCCTGCCCTGGGCTTTGCAGGTTTGCATCTTGGTGAATTGAGATGAGATGAGCCTGAGCTGAGCCGAGCTGGAGGAAGTGAGGGACATGGGGCTTGATGAGATGGAGCAGACGTTCCCCCTTCATTCAGAGAGTCCTGAAAAGTTATGGATGAGAGAGTCCTGACTCCTGAGTCTGTCGTGAATTCTCATTTGGAGCAAGCCCAGCCTCAAACGGCGACACGTCCTCTTTGCCCGCCGGCCCCAGATCTGTCGATCGAAATTGCGATTACTGTTACATGGCTTTCCGCCGTTGACCCGTCGTAACTGCTTGCGGCCCCTTTTGCCCTACCTTACCGTCCAAGGTACTTTACGATGTATTTCTTAGAGACCACCCGACCTCATGTGAGTGGTGACTTTTTACGGAGTATTGTGGTGTGCATTCTTTCCATCCGTCCAAGTCTGCTGTCTCCACCCTAGTCCTCAAAAACGTCATCCCTCAGTCGGATGAGTGACCGTCTCCCTACCTCACACACCAAGAACGCCACGCAAAGGCTGGTCTTGGGGGCCCTCAATACGTGTACCGTGAAATGGAAGGAGGGACCTGGACTCAAGGAGGGAGGGAAGGAGGGATGAAGGTACAAAGGTACAAGATGGAAGTACGTACCGTTTTGGAGGAGGGATGAACGGAGGATGTGAGGTGAGCCAAGTGGGTCCTGCCGCATGCACAGTGCTCCAAAGGGACGAAGAACTGCCAACGTTGCTGCTGCGGATTTACCGCGTGGGACCCATCGCAAAAGTCACCAACCTGGAAGGAACTCTGAAAGTGAATGGAAGTGGCACAGCAGAAGAGAGAGAAGGAGAAAGAGGCACCGGTCGGGGCTTCCCTTACTGCCGTGCTGTAGGAATAGGTAGTGTAAGGTACCTTGCGCGGTACGGAGTACGGGATGTGTCATCCACATCCGTCGCCCATGATCAGACTCCCCCAGAAAAAGAGAAGGAAAGAGAAGAAAGAGGGACTTGAAGAAGGTACCTTCCAACTGCCTTGCTCCGTATGAATAAGGTAAGGTACCTCAAAAATCAGAACGCCTTACGTACCCTGTCCCTACCAGCACCGGTTTCTCTCCTAGCTTTGGCCTTGCGCTCTTGTTCTGTTTTCCTCACCTCACCAACTTACGTACTCTTCACTTTCAACCAGCTCTGCTAAACACGTAACGGCCCCGTTTCCCATCCACCGCCAGCAACAACGGCTGAGGAAAAAGCGCAGCACTTGCACAGCACAACGCGCCATCCCGAGCAAAGCCTCACACGGGCAGACATATCCGTACAGACAGACAACTGGATCTAACCTGACCTGACCTGACCTGACCTGACTTGACCAGCACCAGGTAAACCTCCACTCTCTCGACACCCCTCCCCTCGTCAACCCGAGCCCGTCGTCCCCTCTTCTCGCCCTCATCCTCGTCGTGTCTCTCTTCCTGGTCCCGTCCTGTCTTGCAATACCGACCTTGACGACCTTAACTCGCTCACTCAGTGTATCCGCACCATCCCAGAAACTTTCTTTCCAGGGATCCGGTGTCTTGTGTCTTACCTCTTACACTAGACCCCGAGCAATGTTCAT